GGAAAAATAAGCCAACAGCTTGTAAATCATTGTTTTTCAAGTTGGAATTTACAAAATTAGCTATCTAACAAACGAGGTTCCATTGTATACATCTTTCGTTATTTCTACTTTATTTGGTTTAGTTTTTGAAAACTAATTTTGATTGTTTTAATTTCGTATGTTTTAAAATTTTATTTATATTTCAGTTATTTTTTTTATTTATAAATTTACTTTAATCTAAATGCACCTATATAAGTCAAAAAATCTGAAAAAAAGTTCACTAAACATTAAAAAAAAAAAAAATGCAAAAATGTATTTTTTTTTAATCTTTAGTATTTTTTTTTTTTAAAGATTTTTCAAATATATTTGGGTACATTTAGATTAGGTTGATCTTAAAAAAATTAATAAATTTGACTAAAATGTTTTTTGAAAAAAAAATGTTAACTGAAAATGAAAAAATTTGGCTAAGAATGATATTCCATGCATGGCTCGGGGGGTCTCAAAACCAATTTTTAGAAAGTCAAGTCATGAAAATAACATATCTATTGGTGATTTTCATAAGCCATTAATGGCTAACATGGAAAAACAACCCACTTTACCAAATAATTATGAAAATCTATATGGCAAAAGTCATATTTTTAAAACAAACATGGTAAAAAATAATGAACAAGCCACTATTCATGAATTCAAATTTTTTGATATTTTTCAAAATGTCAAAAAATATGAATTTTCATGGTTACACTATACCATGACTTTTGTTGTTCGAAATCCATTTTTTATTTGTGGATCACATCAAATGTTGACTTTGATGGAATGGGTAACAAATAATATTTTGTTATTGCAATATATTGGGTCAAAAATACGGTTATTAGTTGATCCATAAAACCATCACCATTTGGTTTTGTGGTTATCTTCGAAGCATGTCCTAAGACACTTCGAAGCATGTTATTCATCAAAATATCATTTTATAGCCATTAATGGCGGGTTAAAATGTCAAACTTATAATCCAACTCTTTGGATTTAGTTCGAAGAGATTTCATGAGCACTTTCGAAGGACGACTTTGATCCTTTAGTAATATATGTGACTTTCGAATGGTAGTTTTGTCATCAATAAACATTTTCGAAATGCAACATGAGAAGAGAAAGCTTTCAAAATGTGTGCCTCTCTTCAAATATATGTAAAATGACAATTAATTAATTGTCAAATAATGCCTATTTTTGGCATGATAATTAGTGGCTTTACTGATAAACATTTTTATAGCCATTTGTTACATGAAAATGTAACTAGTATTCTACAAAAATTGGTTTGAAGAACAACGGTTTTGGTGTTTTCAAAGAATTAATAATTGGTTCGAAGCACAAAATTAATATTTTCATTAATTATGTGTGAACCAGAACATATAAGATTTGAATAACCACAATGTTGGCCAAAAACAGCTTCGAAAGCTGTTTTGCTATAAGTTGCTTCGAAAGCCGTTTTGCCATAAGTTGCTTCGAAAGCCGTTTTGCCATAATTTTGTAAGCTTCGAAGCACTCTATCTTGCATCAACAACAGCTTCGAAGAAATAATAATGGTGGTTGTGAACTTTCGAAGCTTTGCCGAGTATTTTTGAGGATGTAATTCGTCTTTTGTCGGCTCCATCGACCTTCGAAGAATGATTTTGGTCCTTTATACCACTTTCGAAGCTTGTTACTAGTCATAATTTGAGTCATCTAGTCATAATTTCATACTCATTCGAAGCACTTTATTGGTGTTGTTACATCATTTGAAGCACTTTGCTGCTTAGGTTAGTCATGTGCTTGGTTCGGCCCTTCAAAAATTCAAATAAACATCATTTTTAAGGGCCGCGGGGGGTAATGTTAGCACCATAAATCTGTAATTTTTATTATTATTTATTATTTATATAATTGCAGGACACGTGGCATCCTCTTATTCATTTGGAAGTTAAAGAAGTTATAGAGATAATGGAGAATATGAAGGACAAAGTGGATGAGTGGAATGACACATGGCAAGACAAGAATAAAGATGGAAGAAATGGGTAGTTACTAAGTAGTTACTGCTATATTTTTTCTTCTATAAATAGCCATTAATGGCTACATTGTAAGGCATCCAGAACTTAAATCAAAGACGATTGATTTCAATATTTCTTGTCATTTTCCTTATCTTAGGAGTAGTTTAACATAGATTTATATTTCGAAACATTTATTTTCGGCATTTCCATTTCGATGCATTTTATGCACTTCCTTTTCGAAGCATAGGAGTAGAGGTAAGTAATTATTACTTTGATTGTTCACTCAATCGTCTTTCTCCGTCTCCCTCATTCTTCTTTTAATTTTTCTTTTCGCTACACTTGGCAATTTTGAAGTCCTCTTCATTAAGGTAAAAGAATCGTCAACGCAATCGCTTGATAATTGGCTTGAATTTAATCTGTAAGGATTTTTCAATCCTTACTGGCACGCTCGCATTTATGATATTTTCCTTCGTAGAAAAAATAATCCACCAAAATCACAATTTCAAATTGTTAAAAGTGAATGTTGAATGTTGAGCCAAACTATTAAATTTTTTTTATTATTTAAATATTGAGCCAAAATGTTGCCAAAGGTGCGGTTTCTGCTCTTAAGGGTTGGTTTGGGAAGTAACTTTTTATAGTGATTTTTGATTGTTAAAGGTGTGATTTTTGCTCTTGCGTGTAAAATATAGAAAGTATATACTGACTTTTTATGGTATTTTTTAACTTTTTGACTAAATTTTTTTAATAAAATGTACTGCCATGCATAATTTAAGATAATTAATAAGGCTAAGTACAAAGAATATTTTCACATGTGAATTTATTAAATAGTCATGGAGGAGGGGTGACCCAATTATTAGATGATTTAACTCTGCCTAAGATTCACTGAATTAAATAAAAATAAAAATAAAAAAATAATTTATTATTAAAGACCTCAATTTTTTAAAAGTCCTATAAAATAAAGTCTGATGTTTAGCCTAAAATATCTAAAAAATAAAGTCTGATGTTTAGCCTAAAATATCTAAAAATTTGAGTCGGTGCTGTCTAAGAGTACATGTAGCATCACCTACTTGATGGTGCTCAACAAATGAGAAATCATAAACATATTAATGAAATTTTTCTTATCTTTCTATTACGTAATAAAAGTGAGTCAATATTTCTCTACCCGCTTCTCAATAATAAGTTTTACTTCTCAATAATAAGGGGTTATTTGGGATGTTCTAAATAAGTGTACTTTTTGACATTTTATAAAATATGGGTTGGGTTTGAAGTGATGGGATAGAGAGGTGATGTGACTTAAATAAGATGATATAACTTAAATAAGATAGTGACTTTTTGACTTTTTGAATTTTTTTGAAGATGCCAAACTTGGCCTAAATGTATGTAAACTATTTGACTAAATATTCTCACACAAATTTTTAAAAATAAAATGAATTATAAACAATTCCATATGCACCAAACATTCTGTCTGCTTCATAGATGAGTCACAAAGGGGTTGGACTGGATGGTTTAAATAAGAAAGAAATTGAGAAAGCATATGATGCATATGGGTCGGTGTAAGTGGGTGCGGCTGTCTGGGGTCCAGATGATGATAGTCCACGACTAAGCGTATTCTGACCAAAAGATTTTGTAAAATTTCTTATATAAATTAACAAGTTTTATAAATTTTCTTTTACTAACAAATGTGTTTATTGCAATAAAATTTTAAAATATAAAATAGGATTTACCAATAAACACAACTCAATATATTTTTTTTTAACATTTTAAATCAGGTCAGGTTTTCAATAATTTAGTGATTGTGAGTACTTAAGGACAGGTGATGAAAAGATTTGAAAACAAATAATTTATGACCAACTATTAGAGACATTGGTAATAAATGAATCAATGTTGAATTATTTTTAACAACTGAACACGAGCCAAATTTCAATAGCTTAATTCTTTTACGACACTATCCAATCTTCCAAGTTGGAGAACACCTAATTCATTAAAGAAGTTGGAAAAGCACATATTTGATATCCTTTTCAAAGTAGAGAAAGAAATTTCTACACGTCTATGTGGTTTAATAACCGACCAAAGCATTTTTGATTTTGTGGGGAGTGATAATATTTAACACTCTCTTCAACTTGCTCCATGCAAAAATCTCACAGCGGCAGGAACATTGTGTGGTCCTCTCTCTACTCATCAGCATGTTGGTCCCGTTGCAATCAATCTGTAGCTATCAGACACATCAACCAGAAAAAATGCTGTTAAAAAGACTATTAAGACCAACTTTTTGAGTATCCCATTAATGGCCCTATTAAGTGCCTTTTCTTATATTATTATCCCATTAATGCCCTATTATTATCTCTTAATTATCCCTTGATTTACACTATTTAACATATGATTGAATACAATATTTTTATTTATTTTTTATTTTTAAAAGACATGCAAATGCAAGAGGCACCTGCTTAAGCAGGATTAGCGAGAGCCTGTGCATTTGTCATTTTTATTTTATTCTAAATGTAAACTATTTTGGAGGTTTAATTACATGAAGATCATATCATTGCTAGCAAGCATGCGTTTGTCAACCCATGTGAAGGGAATTTCATTCACAACAATGCCTTTTGTAATTGTGGATAAAGCATTAGGTGCAACTTTTTTTTTTTCTTCGAAGTGTGCAGAGTGGTGATCACAATGGTCCCCAGTCCAAATTATATGTACTTTGTTTTCATAGAACAATATTATCTCAACAAATAAACATATGTTTCATAAAAAATTAATAACCCATCATACAGCTGTAACTCAACAAGAAGAAAGAAATGATAAGATTTTGACTCTGCACATTAAATGGATAGATGTCGAGCCTAGTTGTTAGTTGTAAGATTAGGCCTAATTTAGTTGGTCAGCATACCTTCCTTAAGGCTTAGTCCCAAAGAGGTCATGGGTTCAATTCCCCTTAGGGAAGTTGAATTAAAGGAGTACAAGTACTTAAGTGCTTTGCCAAAGGTGAGGGAATTTTCTTCCATAGGTACTAATCTAACAACTAACAACTATCATTTACCGATCAAAAAATAAAATAAAATGGATAGATGCCAAGGTCTGCCACGTGAACGTGCACTCACCATGCTTTTTTCTTTATTTTTCTGTGGAGCATGGTCGGTTGAATTCCGGCATCTTCTCTTTCTCAATCTGCACCTAGTTCTCAGTAAGTTTATTCTCTCATGAAAGTGAATTTTCTCACTTTAGACAACCTAGCTTGGTGGAGTTGAATACCAAATTCAGGAAGTTGCAACTATTCAAGAGGAGTGCCATACCAAAATCTGAAACCTTGCAGATGTAAGTTTGCCTCATACCATAATAATATAAAACATCAGTTGTTGTTATATATATGATCTATCATCATGATGAGTTTAATTTCTTCATCAAGTAGGCGCTCTCACTTGTAATCTTGACTATTTTCTATGACTAACATCAAATCATTGTATAGTTCCAATTCACTAACATCAAATCATCATAAAATTGATTGTAGCACTTAACACTTGCCATTAACTTGAGAACTTGTTAAGCAATTGATCAATCTAGTTATAGAATATCATCCCTTGCTTTGTGTGATTCTGTGAATATATGTGAAACTCATAGGCTATGCAAATCCACTGTGGTAGATGCTAATTTCATATAGGGTATATGAGCTCTGACCAACCTAGTTTGTGTATGTTTTTGACAAGTAGGGTTGTGATTGCAGTATTATATCATTGCTTCTCTATTAATTCTCATTTATTTATTTATTTTCTATGGATCATAAAGAAGGAAATTTGTAAGGAACTTTATATGAGGAAGGCCATTCGAGGAGACTGAAAAGAAAAATCTGAGGAACCTGCAACCTGAGGCAATTCAGTCGGTCATTTGCTTTTTTTTTGCACCGATAATGAGAGACATAAGATGATTACAACTTCAAGGGAAGAAGATCTTACAACAAAACAGGAAGGCAACACAGTTGATGGGAAGAACAACTCTAAGGCTTCATGTAGTTCAAAAACACCATGGTCAAAGCTGAATAATCCACGAATTGTGCGCGTCTCGCGAGCTTTTGGAGGAAAGGACAGGCACAGCAAAGTCTGCACTATGAGAGGATTGAGAGATAGACGGGTAAGGCTTTCGGTCCCAACTGCCATTCAATTGTATGATCTTCAAGAAAGGCTAGGTCTTAATCAGCCCAGCAAGGTGGTTGATTGGTTGCTGAATGAAGCTAAGCATGAAATTGATGAACTCCCTCCCCTCCAAATGCCACCAGGAAACTTCAAATTTGGCCAAAATCATCAACCAATGATAACTAATCATGACAAAGAAGGCCTTAAGATTGGTAACAATATCAATTGGGACACTCCATTGGGACTACAAGGGTCTAGTTTTTGGAATTCGAATGCTACCTTGAATGATAAATCTAAGGAGGTTTCAACAGAAACACCGGTTGAGAAAGAAAATTGGAATCAAAGAAATGAGGAAGAAAAGCAAGATAATCTTAATGAAGCTAATGGTGGAAATGTTTCATCTAATAACTTTTTCCCCAGACCTACCTATTCTTCCATACCCGATTTGCTTAACAATTTTGCGCCATACAATTCTTTCTATCGTTGGGATCCTCCAAAATTTTCTCTTTCTCATATACGAAGCCATGGATATACAAGTACAACCCAAACAGAAGATATCCAGGACTTCAATGTTGTGCCATTTCCACCATCATTGTCTCTTCCATCTGGGTCTCAAGTTCTTGTATGTCCACCCGGGACAGCACAATCCCATTTTCCTTCAAACATTGAGTTTGATCCAAAACAAATCAACCACTTTCAGACGTTGAGCTCAAGTTCACAAAATCCCTTGTCAAATTCTATGGGCCAATCCATGAGACCCCTCCACTTGAGCATGCTTATCCAGTCTCGAGATAGTAGTGGAAGCCAATCAAATAACAATGACGAGTTTCCTCCAAAATGAATCGATGTCCAATTTTATAAATTGGAGACTTCTATGATATTCTTGGGAGTGAACAACCTTTCTTTGGTGTAGTGATCGGGTTGATGTTTTTGTGTTTCATTTCATAAACTTTGCTCAATCAGGCATTTGGGAAAACAAATGCAAGAGCTATACATTGCACTACAGAATCTTGAATGGCTTGAATACTGGTAAGATGAGACCATATTATATATTTTTATGTCATTATATTTTGTTTTGATACCCCAAAAAGAAAGCTATTTGAAGTTGAACAGTAGAAAGTTCTGAAGTGTAACTATTTTGTTTGACCCATCTTAAATGTGAAGTGTAACTATTTTGTTTGACCCATCTTAAATGTGGCTACCATACACTTAGTACAAGAAATTATTTTCCAGAGAAACAAGAATGGCGTAGGGAAAAAGTAAAAATATATATATATGCATGGACAATATTATCCAAGTAGGGAAAAAGAAAATTTTCTATGTACTTGATATCTAGGGAGTGGTAAATCGGAAGCATATATGTACGGTGGCATTGTTTAGTTCACCCAATGTCAACTTGTGCTCCCCATGATCACGAGACATCTCACTGCATTGGTGGTTTGTGGTTGTAACCTGACTGTACTATAATTATGTGCTTGGTTAGGAGATTTGAGAAGGAATTTGAAAAAAAAAAAAGGAAAATATGTGTGAAATTAAGTAAAATATAGGTATATTTTATTTATATTTGACATTCCTTTTCTATTTTCCTTTCCAAATACCCTAATTATATGAGAGTGATATTACATAATGGAATCATTAACTAATGAGAGTTTTAAATTTTATTCCATGATATTTAACATTGCTTGATCAAATTAGTGAGAGGTAAGAGTTGCTCATTGTTTTTTTTGTTGACCAGAGTCATCACTAATAGATATTTATTTGATAGATATGTGCGTAGAATATACAAAAACATACTCAAAAAAAAATAATATGTAATTTAGATTTAATTTTGTATTCTTAAATGAGCGTAAACATACATTAAACAATATTATGCGTATTTTTCTGAGTTTGGTGTAAGTAGCATTGCTCTTTATTAGGTCACCCAATATATGCACTTCTCTCCCATGAACACTATTTGATCTCTGAAAGCTTGAAAACCCTAAAGTACTGATTATGAATGGACAGTCAAGTTTCTTTTTTTTTTTTTTATCCAGAATCTCCACATTGATGGAAGCATAAATAATCTGTTGAACTTGAAGAAAGTTGTATGTTGCTATATGGGTGAGTAATTACAGATGAGTGGGATTGTAGGCAGTACTGTCAACATTGGACAAGATCCAACACAATAATCTTAGCAGAGCCACAGGTTTTAAGAGCAAGATTAAAGGATCCCTTTTCCAAGTGGCATCAAATATAAAAAATAAAAATAAAAAATACTGTGGAGCTTATTTAATGTTTAATGAAGAAGAAGAAGAAGAGGAGCACACACAAGCTAATTAGGGTTTCAGAGTATGCCATCTTTTTCTGTGTAAGAGAAGGGACCACAAAGCCTGCATAGGAGAGGTCCCCCTACTGTTTTGTTTTCTTTTTCTACGAAAGCCACTTTTAGATTTTGTGATCTGTCTTTTCTTGTTATCCTGCATTGGAGAAGACATTATTTTGTGATTTAATCGTATAGTTATCGGCGTTTGATTAATTTGAATATTCGCATAAATGATCTTTTCAATTGGCCAACCTTACATCTGTTATTCAATTCCAAACTAAATAATTCACATTCTATTAGCCAAGGACAAAGGAGAGTGAGTGGTCGGTTTGAAACAACTAGCTTATTTATCCATTCTAAATCAATTCGTAAAAGAAAGAAGAAAATGAATGATACGTGTTAAGTATACATAAAATGCTTAAAATATTATTTTTCATTGAGTATAATGATTGAAATACCATTTTTTTAGTCAATTTCACTTAACAAAAATAGACTGATAATTTAGATTGAAAATAAAATTAAAAAATTAGAGTTCAAATTGATAAAATTAAAATTTTAAAATTTATTTTATTATAAACATCAAATTTTGAATTTAAAAAAAAAAATTCAAACTGTGTTCCCTATGAGAATCATTTATTAGAATGAAATCTACAATCTCTGTTTGGGAAGATGGTTTATGGGTTTTTTTGGTTATTTTAGCAATAAAAGACAAAATAGGCTATTTTAGTCACAACAAACAAAATATCACATCCAATATATAATCATTGCACTCTTCTCTCACAAAAAAAGCCAAAAAAGTCAAAAAACTAAAAAGCCCTTTCCAAACCAAGCTTTTTAGCCCAGGCTAAAATAGCCAAAAAAATCAAAAAGTCAAAAAGTCAACCCGCTTCCCAAACAAAGCGGTGTTTGGGAAGTTGTTATTTTAGTAGGTTTTTTAAGTTTTTGATTATTTTAGGGGGTTAAAATTTGGGAAGATAGTTGAATTTTTTTGTAATTAAATGTGATATTTATGAGAAAAAAAATGAAATAATTATACGTTTGATGTGACATTTTGTCTGAATTTGTTTTTTTAGTTTTTTAACCAATTTTTTGTCTTTTAGTATTTTTTTTAACAAAAAAAAAACAAAAAAATAAAAAAACACTTCCCAAACACCACCATTAACACAAACTTGGCTGACCTTGCCATAGCAGAATAAGAAAATGAATACATGATTAGTAGTAAAGATTTGAAATTTAAAAAGACGATTTCTTCTAGAAGGAGATTTAAGCTTATCCAAGGTTGATGGGCGAAGGCCATAGAGAATTCCAAAACTCCTTCTATGAAAGGGCATTCACAACATTATTAAGCATACCCAAGCTCCCTAATGGGGCACAATCTAGGAGTACTTTATTAATTTTTTGCTCGGGTTTTCTTTGATTTATTTTTTGTGAAACCTCTATCAACTTCAATTGGTTGTAGGTATGCTCTTTTTGTTAAAATAAGGTTATATGACAAATTTTCTAATGGTGCAAAGTCTATGACTTTTTTTTTTTCCCCCTTCTCTTTTTCGAATTTCTAACTCGAGTTTTCTTTGATTTATTTTCATTAGCAAGTGAAGTGAAAAAAAATAAAAACAAAAATAAAAATCATGTCATATATTTGGATGGTCAGACAATTTCAACGAATTTGACTATTTTTTCTTTTTTTCTTGTCCAATTTGAGTTATGACAACCATTGTTGGAGACTAGGTAAAATTTGTTGTTACTTAATTCAAACTTTTATAAATAAACTATGAAAAGTGCACGTGTGATGCACATGAAGAGTTTATAAAGTTTTTATTTTAGAAACACTAATAGCCTTTGTTTGGCAAAGACTTTTTTTTTTTTTTGGACTAAAATTTATAAAAAGACAAAATATATTAAAATAATTAATAAAATAAAATATCATATCAAATTTACAATCATCTTATTTTTTCTCTTACAAATATCACTTACAGCAGGCCAACTACATAATTTAATCTTTTTATATGAACAATCGAAAAACAAGCAAATCTCTCCCAAGCAAAGTCTTCCTTTTAAGCAAGTTTCCTCCTCCTATGCAAATGGGCCCTCAATACTCTATATCCCTCCATTGGAGGCAATCCCCCACCTTCTACGATTAAAAAAACTTATAAGCTTTTAAAAATGATTTTTAATTTTTTTAGGGCATTTTTTGGTAATTTATTTTTAATATTTTAGTAAAATTTTTAATCCATTTATATGAACAACCGAAAAACAAGCAAATCTCTCCCAAGCAAAGCCTTTCCTTTTAAGCAAGTTTCCTCCTCCTATCCAAATGGGCCCTCAATACTCTATCCCTCCATTTGAGTGAATCCCCCACCTTCTGGATAAAAAGTTTATAAGCTTTTAAAAATAATTTTTAATTTTTTTGGATTTATTTTTTGGTAATTTTATTTCTAATATTTTAGTAAAATTTGCAAAAAAAAAAATTCAAAGTGCCTAATCTAAATATCTGAATATATTTAAAAAGAGAGATTTGGTGATAGACCCCTCAATGTCTAATTTGAACAAGAATTATATAGATCATTTCAAAACTTCATAGTATTTTAAAACTTATTTCTTTTATTATAATACCTATATGTGTGTATGTATCAGATTGCAATCACTCTCTCTCATCTTAATCTCTATTCTCTTTGTCTCGTTCTTATCATTGTCGCTCTTCATCGGCACCATCGCTACTCTCCATCGGCGCCACCGCCACTCACCATGGAACTCTTTCTCTTACCTACTTCATCACCATTGTTATATCCACAACTTCATATTTGAAATCATTCACGGTCGTCTTTGTCGAACAATAACGGTTTGCAAATCTCAAATCTGAAATCTTTCACCCTCTCTCTCTCTCTCTCTCTTTGGTTTTGATGATTCATACTCTCTCTCTCTCTATATGTGTGTGTCACTCACCATTTATGCTCTCTCTCTTGTTCTCTCTCTCACTCTCTCTCCTCCTTCTTCTCATTATTCTCTTGATCCTTTGTTTTCGAACTCTATCTCTCTATACTCTATCTTTCTTTCTTCTTTTCATGATGCTCTATTCTTTTAACAGTAAAATTTTACTCTGATTTATGACACAACACTATCTTGTAAAACCATCATCGTAACTTATTTTAGAGTAAAATTTTATGTTGAATCATAATAAATTTTATTCTGAATCAGAGTAAAATTTACTATGATTCAAAGTAAAATTTTACTATCGTTAAGCAGATCAGCATGTAACCAAAGTAAAATTTTATTGTTACAAAAATATAATATATACTAAATGAACGAACCAAAATCAAATTTTACTTTTAGATCTATGAACAAACATACAAAAAAACTCTTTATTTTTCATTACAATATCTTCATTTCTCATTTTTTTTTTATCAAATCTAAGTTTTTATTTTTAATTTTTATTATCTCAGATCTGAAATTATTGATCTCAAATATGAGTTCGTAGGTATCAAATCTGAAATGATAGTGGTAGTTTGACGGTAAAAATGGTAGTTGCCGGTGGTGAGAATGAACGACGCCGATAAACAATGAAAATTGTGAAGACAATGAACAACCATCGAGTTAGTGAAGAGAGTAAGAGAGAGAGAGAGACAGAGACAGAGAGAGATATGGCTAATGGTCAAATAAAATATTTAAATAATAAATTTTGTATTTTATACGAGACTTTATAATTATGAAAGAGTTTTGAAAGTACTAATTTTTTTTTGTCCTTTTAACCAGAAAAGGAAGGTAAGAGGGTTTATGGTTAAATTTTCCATTTAAAAAATAAAATATTTGTGAAGAAATTAAAAAGTAATTTAATATATACGAAAAAATGAGAATGTACTATTTTTTTGTCATGTTTAACTTTTTTTTGTACTTAGTGAGAAAATTTTATAATTTTTCAAATGTATCTAAATTAAGTGAATTTAAAAATAAATAAAATACTAAAAATTTAAAATATGAATTAAAAACTTAAAAATTATTTTTAAAAAGTGAAATGATTTATCCAACAAATTATTATGGTCCAAAATCGCCCGAATTTATTGATGCCACCGGCTTTACTCTCGTCTACCGCGGTCGTCACCCTATCATTCAGACGATCAGCATCAACAAATTCGAGCAATTCAAACGAAACTAAATTCGGTGAATATAACATTGTTCTTTTAGAAATTACAAAACCAAATAAAGTGATAATATTTGTACTCTTCTTATACTTAATATATAAATATTTTAATTTTTTAAATGTATTGTGAAAAATAAAAATTCATTTATAATTTTCTAAAATAAAAAAATTTAAAATTTAACTTAGGGTTATTTGGAATGTCCTAAATAAGTGCACTTTTTGTCTTTTTGAACTAAAAAGTTGAGAAAAAAAAAAGATGGATTTTTGGGTTAACTTTTTGACTTTTTACGAAAAAATGTGTATTAAAAAATTATATAAATTAATGTATAGAAAAAGTTTTGACAGTGTAAGCTGTACGGTGGAAGCAAGGTTTGCAGAGTGGTGTAATAAGAAATTGTTGTCTCCTTTTTGAGCAACCATTTGGACAGTGCTCTTTGGCCAGTGGGACCCACCAAAAGTCCCGTTTTGCTAATCGGAATCGTTTAATGTGTACAACTCGTTAAGTATTATATGTTTGTAAAAAATCACATTAATCAGATGTCTATAGCTATCTGATCGGATTAGTTTTTTTGTCAACCGTTAACTATAACACTATCCATTTTTTATACAAAACTGATTTGATCATGTAGTTAGCGATATCCGATCAACAGATGTTTTACAGACATATAGTACTGGACAAGTTCTACACATTGAAAGGTTTAAATTATCAAAACGGGACTCGTGGTGGGTCTCTACGGGCCCAACATTACTGTCAAACTTAGTGAATATATTTTTTTTTATTTCTTTCATTGTACTTTCCCATTAATTCAATACCGGGAACATTATAAAATTGATTTGTATTAGCTGTGTAAAGTTGGTTTGATTAAAATATTATATATTAAATTTTTTTATATTTTTAATTTATGAACCATAATGATTTTTTTCCTTTTTTTTTATAAAGAATTTCTTAACTTTTTAAATTTTTTCTGACATCCTAAACCAGACCTTAGACAGGTGGCATCGGATGCGGCTGCTCATGTCCGTCTGTCTCCCCTTCTTTAAGGGATCTCGTTAACTCTCTTGTACCCCCCACAGCTCGCCGTCAAGAAGTAACAAACACGCCCTAACTTAAATCTCTCTCTCTCTGGTTACCCCAATTAGCTCTGTCTCTCTCTTTCGATCCAGGGTTTTACTAGGGTTTATAAACCTTCCACAACTCCAATCAAATCCCTAACTCAGCTAATCTCACTAGTCTTTCTCTGGATGGGGATAACATTTATCGTTGTTCAATAGAGATTGAACGATTCGCTAAATTACTAGTGAGCTCAAGAATCAATCGCAGTAACCCTAGAAATTACTGGTAAGCATGTGCTACATCTGATTTCGCTATTACTTTGTTCAATTGTGAAATGCAACATTCTAGGGTTTTTTGTTCTTCAATCGTTCGCTCTGTTGAAGCTATGATTGGTCATCGATAATGCGATGTTTGTGGAATTCTTTGAAAAGCCATGGTCTTTTTCTTTTTCTTTTTCTTTTTTCCTTTGAATTTTACTTCATTTGAATTGAATTGATATGAAGTGTTGAATATGAGCAATGGTGGTAGAGAGAGTGGAAGAGAGTGTGAGCATGGCAAGTCAAAGAAGAAATCAGACGATTTTGCCCAAGCTATCGCCAAGATTGCTGTAGCGCAAGTATGCGAGAGTGAAGGATTTCAGAGCTTCCAGCAGGCGGCCCTTAATACGCTGTCCGACGTGACCGTTCGATATATTCGTGAAATAGGGAAGAGTGCAAATTTCTATGCGAATTTGGCTGGTAGGTCAGAGAGTAACGTGTTTGATATAATTCATGGGTTGGAAGATTTGGAATCATCGCAGGGGTTTTCAGGTGCTTCCGATATTAATTGTTGTCCTGCTGGTTCAGGTATAGTTCGGGAGATTACTCAGTATGTTGGTGATGCTGAGGAAATTCCATTTCCATATTCCATTCCCAGTTTTCCCATCATTAAGGACCGAAACCCAATACTTAGTTTTGCACAAGTTACTGAAGTATCACCCAGTGAGCATATTCCTTCATGGTTGCCTGCATTTCCTGATCCGCAGATTTGTACACGCTCGCCCTCGCGGAAGGGCAGAGAAGCAGATACTCCGTTTGATAAAACTGAGCCTAGTAAAGAGCAGAGGAAGGTGGAAACGACCTTGTTGAATTTGCAGCAGCAATTGGCTTGTAATGGGTCTGAAGTACCAACGGCTGTTGACCCAGGAGATGCTGACAAGGCTAAACAAGCAGCTGAAAGTAACCCATTTCTTGCAGCCCCTTTGAGAATAGGAGAGAAGGAAGTGTCTTCAGTGGTGCTTCCACCTAAACTCTTGGATGAAGCTGCAGCGAATAACAGTGCGGTTGTGCAGAATCATGTTTCGGTGTTGGAGACATTTGCTCCAGCTATTGAAGCAATGAAGAACACATTATGCGATTCTGAAGAGGATGGGAAAAAGGTCCTTCTGAACACAAGGTCTACTGTGCAATTTAAGTTCGGGATTGGAAAGAAGTCCTCAGGTACATCAAGCATACGTAATGAGGGTATTGACAAAATCAACTCCTGGTTTGGGGATACTAATGAGAAGGACAACAAGAAAAGGAGGGCCGAGCACATTCTGAAGGAATCTATAGAAAACCCACAAGAGTTGGCCCAATTGTAAATTAGGTTGGTTTGATTAGAATTTGTATACTTGTTTAGAAAACTGGTAGCAGTCTAGCAGATACTGGTTCCCAGGGTAGTCAAAGTTGAGGATCATATAGTTGTCTGTATATGCACATTACAGACTGCTAGAATTTAACAAGTTCGGAGGTACGTCTTTGATAGTGGCTGTAATAGAACCTTGTCATTCCTGATTCTTTCTAATTGAAACTCTTGTTATTTCTTTATGATCTGTTACTGGATGGATATGTTAGTATCTTCAGCTTCTGGATGTCTAGAACCAGTATTTCTTACATGCGGTCTGTATAATCATAATGTTTATTTCCAGCATTGCATAAACATGTCATTAACATAAAAGCAAATCACATTTGTTACACTTATTTGCTTATTCTTCAAACAAATTATGCATGAAAGTTGAATACTTTTTTAGCTTGCAGATTGCTTAATCAACTTCATATTAGGTTATTCTTCAAAATATAGGTGGCAGGAGTATATTGTTCTCCCTTCTCTGAACATGAGAAGCTGAAATGTGGAAGACTGGATGTGGTTCAGTTGGCTTGACTACTTACTTTTGTTGGGAAGCGGTGGCTCAGTTGTTTGACTAGTTTGATAATTTTGGGAGCGAGTGAGTGGTGACTTAATTTTTGGTTTCCTCCTTTCTGGTGTTTTTTTTTTTTTTTTTGAAAAACCATTTATTGGATTCATTTAAACCATTTTATTCAATTTTAATATTTTTCTATTTGAGCAACTTAGAATAGAATTTTGAATGGTGTGAGGACTTTCAGCTTAAATTTACATTGGTTTGTTTAAGTCGAAACTTACAGTTTTACAAACCGTTATGATTCCTGTATGTTCTGCCCATGAAATCTGGTTACAATAATGCAAAAGAAAGAGCACTGAGGAATTTTCTTGCTCATCCTTGAGCAATAGATGGCTTAAAGGATTAATGTGTTTTTAATAAGTAGTGTATTATAAACAGAACACCAAAAATGGGGCGAAACATGTGCACACCCAAAATCCTGAATCCTATAAGCTATACAACCACTGGCATATACATATCTCTAATAAACAGAATTGAACTCAATCAGCGTTTGTCTCATCCAATTACGTAGGGTTGGGTACGTAGATCTATTTCCTCCAGTTGGTTGTTTCACAATCATATCCTCAGTTTACTTCAAGACAGTAATGTGTGTTCTTATCACCTTAATCAAAGTTCTCCTAGGCTTTCCTCTATTTTGTTTGCAACCGCCTTGTGTATTAAACACTCCTTTTGGGTGCAGTCATTAGTGTACCTGAAGGGGCAATCAATATCAAAGCTAGAAACCATATCTCTGAGCAAATAGAGTTTTTGCTTGCATCACTCCAAATAATTCTTGTACTAGTTCTTTCACTCCAAAGACTTATTAATTCTTGTTTCACTTTGCAATAGAAGTGGCACAGAAAATAATGAGAAATAAGAAGTGAAGATCTAAAGAAGGGATTCTGCTGTGTTGCTTTCCTCCATTGGGAGCATATTCGCAAACCAAAACTTTCTTTCAAATTTTCTAATTGGGACCAGTCTTTCTAGATTTTCTATAGCAAGGAATTGATGTAGTTTGATGAAATGAGAGGGTTATATTCATAAGCATTAAATATTTATTTATTGTATTTCGATACTTATGTTTAGAGATAGAGATTGAAACTGTGAATGAACATGACCCACTCTTCAAGTTAGGTGAGGAGAATTTTATATATGTCTCCACAGACATCAATTGTTGGTGATGAGATCATAGGCCAACGATAAACACTAGGGTGTGTGGTGCTCATGCCTGCCAGCAGGGGATGCAAAAATACAATTGGTTATAATCAATTGGCAAAAGATTAGAGAGATCCTAAGTGAGGACTTTTGCTTATTCAACTTCTTTCCTCATGATTCTCTAATTATAGTTGTTTTGGGGAATGCTAGTATTAGTATTTTCTTTGATAGTTTTCACCTTGATTAAATGAAGTTTCCTTCCTACATATTCCTTGGCACTCCTTGGCACTCCTTGGCTTTTATGCTGCTTTTGAATTCCACCATTAACTTTGGATTGATTTAGTGAGTGTTTGGGAAGTTGCTATTTTAGTAGGTTATCTTAGTTTTTGGTTATTTTAGTAGGCTAAAATTTGTGTTTGGGAAGATAGTTGGATTTTTTTGTAGTTGAATGTGATGTTTGTGAGAGAAGCCAAAAAATAGCATTTCCCAAACACCCCCCTTAGTTATGTTCAGGGTGCAGAAAGAAGTAAAGGGCAAACATTACAGAAAAGAGTGGGAAAAAGGCATTCTGATTTAATTTGACAAATAGAAAAAAAAAGAAGATGAAAAGTTCCAAGTCAAGAACAAAAATGAAGTAAACTCTTGTGTAGAATTTGGAATAAATTCAGGAAGTTACAAAGGCTGAAATCTGGACTTGAAGCTCGAATGATTAAATGGCTTGCCATTTTTCCAGGTATGTTTTCATTGTTTCAAGGGTTTTTTTCTTTTCTTTTTCAATTCTATTTATAGAAAACTTTTTAATTGGAAGTTAATTTTTGTAATAGCTTTAACATTATCAACTGTTTAGAGAGAACAGGAAATCTCCTTTAATAACCATTATACTATAGTATCGTCATTTCATTAAACTCTCATCTTGTGTATTTTCTACCTTTCTTGGTGATTCTTGAAAAGAAAAAGAAAAAAATGATTTGAAAATGATGATGAGAGTTGGGGGCTAATAATTGTGCCATTTTTTTTCTCTGCTTGGTAGTGCTCGCATCTGAGTCACACGAGTATGACTATGGTATTTGCTCTGTCATTTGATGCCGGTGAATTATATGAAAACTTTGAGAAATAGAATAATAATTAAAATAAATGGTATTGGCAACATATACTGTTAAGCAAACATATTATCCAAAGTAATTAGTAGTAAATCAAATGAAATTAATTAATTAACATATAATCTTTTATATGTTGTTTAATAAACTAAAAATATTTATACATGCTGGTAGATATATGTATTTGTTTATAAAGATACAATGTCATTTGTTAATAGTAATCCAGTAATACTTTAGCTCAATATTTTTTGCCTTGTGCTTTCTGGTTGGAGGGTTTCCTGTAGCAAAATTGACAAACCTTTTTTTTAGTGCAATGACTTGGTGCTGAACTAGACAATTAACATGATCTATATTTTCTTGATGTCTTTGATATTGAAATCCATTAATTGTTTCACTAATGATGTATGTCCAAAATGGAGTAACAACCACAGGAACTCAACCTAAAGAGCTAGCCAAGGGAATATCATTTTGTGTTCATTGCTTTTACTTATATTCCAAATATTTAGGTTCATATCTGTTTAAAGTCAACACATCATGCATATATGCAATATTTATGGATTTTGGAGATAGATTTTTGGGTGTTAGTGGCAAGTTGGGTTGAGAGTAGAAGTGAGAGGGTGGAGGGTGAGGGTGGCGGTGGCGGTGGCGGTATTTGGTACAGTGAGGGTAGTTGGGGGGAGGGAGGTGTCTTAATAGAGGGAGAAAGAAAAGTGGTGGTGGTTTTGGGTAGAGAGAAATGCAAGGGTGCTAGGTGGTGGTGGATGGTGGTTCTTGGCAGAGTGAGAGAGAGAGAATCGTGCTGTTGGTGGTGGGTAATGGGAGGGAAGATTAGTGAAATTAAATAAAAGAATATTTTAGACACTTCAAGACACGGATTGTTTGGATGGAAATACTTATGGTTACAGTTTACAGATGACCATTTCATCAGACACTGTTTCTTCTCCTCCTTTCTCATATTCTTCTTTTTATTGTTAAATCTAACTTGGTATCAATGTGAGATTTAAAACATTTCTCTCTGTGGCATCAGTACTAAGTACTCTATGGTTTGGGTCTTTAGCAGGCTATAGCTGGAGTTTAATTGTTTAGCTTCAATTCATCGTTGCAAACATTATTTTTAAAGGCTCTGGTGATGTAAATTCCCCCAAAAATATATATATATATATATATATTAGGCCATGCCAACATGATTGACTGTGAGTGTTGATCCCAAAAATATTTCCCCACCCAATTCATCTTTTTAATTTTCTACTATTTTCTAATTTTCTATGATTTTTGGTAAAGTAGGGCTATTCTTTGGAAATTGCATCTCCAGCACAGTGCCAGGCTTTTCCCTGTTTGGTTTGGACTTCTAGGGTGCCAGCTAGACAAGTAAAGGTCTTCTTTGGAGTTTTGTTACTTGAGTAATGTGGTGAAGCCTTTGGCTACCTCATTGTAACTACTTTTATTATTATTTATTTATTTATTTATTTTTAGTGTTATTTTTAAAGGTATTTTGGTGCCTTCAATATCTGGTATTGATGGGTATTTGCTGGATTTAGTTGTGCTGGATGGAGTTGTTGGCTGATTTGGTGCCTTTAATATCTGGTAGTAGTTCCATGGCTGTTAGAATCTTCACGATTCAATGCATGTTGTCGAATCTTAAATTACGATTCGCTATGATTTAGTTCTATTTACATAATACATGGAATTAATTATACTGGTATAGGTGATTATGGATTGATTTGGGAAGTTGATTAAAACATGACTTTTTGACTTTTTTTGGCTTTTTTTTTTTGAAAAAATGTATAAAAAATGTGACCCAAAATAGGTTAAAAGCCAAAAAGTAGCTTTTTACTATTACATACATGCATACAACTTAGCAATATTGAGATTTATTTCATTTTAAAAACACTAGGTGTGTATTTTATGTATATACAAACATAAAATTACATACTGCGTATCTTAAAATTTATGATTCGATTTTCGATTTGACTACAATGTCTAGTACTATTATTGTGAAGGTTGGTTGTACTTTTTTTTGTAGTTGTTTGCTTCTCCTTGTTTGTGGATATGTCAAAGTTTGGTAAGCTTTCTACTGGAGGTAAGGATCGTGGGTTAGTCCCCACTATCCTCATTGCTAGAATAATATGCTTGTTGCACGGGTTTTTGAAGATAAGGCTCGGGATGTGAATTTTTTATGGGAAAAAAATTGGCATTTATCTTCATTTTGGGCTTCGATGACTCCTATCTTTAGGGAGGTGGTGTTGTTTTGTTAGTTAGAAATTGGTTGTCGATGTGTGACATATAATGTGTTTTTTTGGGTTAACTTTTGTTTTTGGTTTTGTACTTTAGCTTCTATTTTATTTGCTTTTACTCGTAGAGGATGCCTTATTATCATTTCTTCCTTTTGTCTTATCAATAAAATCATTTTTGTTGTTGATCCAAAAAAAGGATAGTGGCTTTAGTCCGTGTAGGGGAATATTGGACTTTGTTTGAAACAATTCTAGAATTCCTGTAAGCAACTAACAAGATGTGTCATCATTGTTAAATTGTTTGAAACAACTCCAGAATTTTGCTTATATTTCAGTATTCACTTGTAAAAATAGAATATTCTTGAATAAGAAAAGGACTCGTTATTATTTTTTTAATGAGTTGAATAAATGGAAAACTATTGATGTAAATGAAATACAATTCTTTTTTCTTTATCTTGAACTTAGGCCCTGTGGAATTGAGGATATAGTGTTCTGGGTTGGACTTTTGCACCATGTGGGGATGTGAAGGTTACAAATGTAGCAGTAAAATGAAATACCTAGTGAAATTTGTGGCTTGTGCAGCCAATTTTGGCACTAAATTAGTCATAGAATTCCAATGCAAGCTCATTTCCTATGATTGCATTCAGAAAATATAATCTGCCTGTTGCTTCAGCTTTGCAGAAATACAATTATTTTCCTTTTTCCAGACAAAAAAGTACCACTCTGTATTTATTACATTTTTGGTGCACTTATGAGAACCCATCTGTGTAAAATGAAAAACTGAAAAGCTAAAGTATTCTTGTATTTACATCGATTGTAATAAACTGTGTTATAAAACCCTAGAAGAGATTTGCTTTACAGACTAGCAAAGAAAAGCAGTTCTCATCCATGAATTATTATGCTTTTACTCCAAAAAGAGAAAAGGGGAATGAGAAGATGTGAGGAGAATAGAAGAAGAAATACTACTTGGGAAACAATCGCCTGCAATGCTTGGTTCGCCTGCCTGGCAGACCAGCCACCTCACCACTCACGACCTCGCCAATCAGATCTTTAAATATCAGGCGCTCAATGTCTAATACTACCCCTGGAATTTCAGAATGGTTGTCTGCCCAATTTTGTGTTTGAAGCATCATATCCTCTCTTAAGATGCTTATTAAACAATCATCCTCATCATGTAAGCTGAAGTGAGAGTTAGCTTGGAGATGATCCATCTCTGAACACAGCTCTTCCAAAAGCTTCTGTCCAGTGAGGCTGCTCAGTCTCAGTTTGTTTGAAGAGATCCCCGGTTCAGAAAAACCAGCTGCAGTTAATTTGTGGACAAGGGTTTCATTGACAGTATCAAATATGAGTTTTCTGTGGATTTTCTCATTGAATTTTAATTTATTGATCTTTTCATTGCTTCGTTCATCATTTGGAAGTTCAATCCTGCCCTTGGTTTGTTCCAGGACAAGGAACAAATTGGGGTTGATCAAATGGCCTGATGGATGGAGCTGAATGAATGTTGAGCTAGAGCCTAGATCTTTGAGGAGAAGACCTGATGCTAAAAATATCTCGGTAATGTATCTGTGCTCTGGATTTGTGTTCTCACAAAGAGATGCAATGTAATCTGTGGCAGCTTCATCATGTGTGGAGTTCACTTGTCTGAGCTTACGAACCAAATGCTCTAAGTCCTCTCGATCAAACTCAAGGCCTTGAATGGGTCTTGTTCTGTTCAGCAAGAGGTCTAGATCCACTGAATTCCATTCTTCTTCATCAGAATTTAGGGTCTCGTCATCTGTATATTAACCCCACACACACACACACACACACACACACAAAAAAAAAGGAGAAATTTTATTAGTAAAAGGCTTAAGTCATCCATCCCCTCTCTCTACTTTTCGTTTCCTTTTATAATTTGTGATTTGTGTACTACATTAGCAATATTTCTGTTTTTCTTTGTCTAACATTCTTCATGTTTAAAATTTTAATTGATGTGACCAGCAGGCTCCTGTTTGAGTAGTGAGGTTTCAGTTATAAGCTACCAATGCCTCAGGGCCAATAGCCATGACCAAGTAGCCTTAAATTAAAAACATAATGTACAAAAAGAAAAACAGAATACTTGCAAATAAGCTACATTGTGAGTTGGAAAAAATGTTTTTTTTCTCGGAAGGAAACATATATTAAACACACAGGACACAATTGCACGTGTTTAAGCTATTTCTTTATGCTTGCTTAATCATTATAACCTTTTACTGATGCGGTGCATTCAATCTGTGAGTGTATGTAAGGTGTGGCCCTTGTTTCACTCTCCAGTGCTAGAAATATGATCGTTTCAAATATGAATGCACTATTTGTAACTAAAATGTTTTAACATAGCAAGAACCTCACCTTTGAAAGCATTTGATATCTTCTTTACAGGAGATGGTGATTCTTCTATGTAGAATGTAGTATCAAGAACAGATACAGGGCTTGGCTGTTCCAAGGTTGCTGTTGTTGCTTCAGCTTTTAATCCATCTTCACTCAACCTTGCTGCCATCTGAGTGGAAAAAGAAGGAAACCTGTTAACCACTTCATCAGAATGATATTATGAAAAATTGAACACACAAGATAAGAACACATACTTCATTTTTCTGGTCCTTATGATGGTATGCACCATTCATTTCTTTTGAACGATCAATACTTGTGACTTCTATTTCAGTCCGTGAGGCTGAGCTTATATTGCTTTCTGACTGTCTTGTGTCACTACTGATCTCGCTCAATCTATCATTGCCTTGCTGCAAATTGGGAGATTTGGGTTTGAATTTTCTACTTGGAGAGCCTGATTCTATTTGCTGCTTACTCAAATGTCTTCGGGTTCTGCTAGGATCAGATGTCTGGGTGGTAGGATGAGACTGTTTGTCCATCCCATCCTTTCTCTGTTGCAGTCTTGGGCTCACAGTTGTTAAGCCCTTTCCAGAGCCGGTGGTGTTCTGTTGAGGTGCCTTTGTTGTTTGTGTTGACCTATATGTTTTGGCATTGGTAATCTTATCCATGGAACAAAGGGGCTGGCAAGAAGGTTCTCTAAAATGGTTGTTTCTCGGAGTCAAATCTTTGGCTGTTCGCTTGTCAACCGAATCATGTTTGCTGTCTGGATTGTCACTGGTCCGGAGTTTGCGGAGGCCTGGTATACCCTCAATTGGGATTGCGGAGGAACCTGAATTTCTGGGTTTCTCAACAACATTAGCTGGTTTAATTATCACAACAGAGGATTCGGATTTCATTGGGGGACCAGTCGCCTTAATGATGGGAGTTGTTGATACAGAATTTGGGCCATGATTGCTTGTTTGAGGCTCCAAATCCGAGGTCTGCTCTTCCTTGTGCTTTAATCTCTCTTTAGTTTTTTGCATTGCTTCAAGTATCTGTTTAAGAGCTCTGAGATCCTTGCCAGATCTTTTAAACTCAAGTTCAGTCAATCTTCTCTCAATTTCACCATAAACAGAAGGACACGAATTTGGAGCCTTTATGTGAGCTTCCTGATGCATAGAAGCTGGTTTTTGAGAACCTCGATTCCCATCTGGCTGCCTCCATGGAGCTGGTTCCAGTGGAAACCTTGAGTTTGGTTTCACGACGGAAATGGGACTTCTTAACTGAGGCGAGGCACATTCTCTGTGGGGAGTTCTTGGAGACCTTGAAACTTGGTTGTACTTGCTTTCATCGGCTTTTCTTGATGAGGTGGACATTGCATCAAGATCCTCATGTGGGCAGCTTTTAATATTCCTTGTCTGATCATTGTTATCAGGCGTGGAATCTGGAAAAGCTTCTAATCCCATCAACTTTGCTACAACACTAGATGGTCGTTTATTACTTCCTGGCTCTTGTTGGGGATTCGGGGTTTGGCTGGACTTGTCATTTCCCCGCTGTAGATCTTCTAAAAGATTGCTTGATCTGGATTCAGAGGCAGATACCCTGATGGAACGTTCTCTACTGTCCAATGATAATCGAGGAAGCTCTTTGAGCTTTGTGGCAGATTTCCATTTGTCTCGTGATTCCCTTCCATCGTAAGAGAACCGAGGAGCGTCCTTTGGTGGCAATGCCTTGGACTTCTCTTCAATGGAACTTTGAGGTGATTCCCGAAGCTTAGCAAGAACTTGAAATGATCTGTCGAGTTCAGAAACTTTCGTCTTTACAGAGTTAGACAGCAGCAGTGGCCTTGGGGAATCTACATGCTTCATCACATGGCTTGTTCGTTTCGGTGTAGTTGTAGTCCTGACTGTTAACCCAAATGTTTCTCTGTTGATTGAGTCCTTGACAACATCTCGGAGATCAGGGGATTGCTGGCTTGAGTGCAAAGAAGAATTTGGCTGTTTCTTGGGTAAAATCTGAGATGGGGTTTCAGGGAAAATGCTGTGGCTCAAAGATGGTTCTGGTTGAACTGTTTTATTACAATCAACTGACGAGAAGGTAGATGAGGAACAGGAGGATGATGAAAAAGAGGGCCTGGATGATTCGACTGAGACTCTTTGCTTCTCTTTCCCAACCGCCTTCAGATTTTTTTCCTGAAATTAAGTCGCGGAGTTAGTTTGAGTACTTCAACTGTAGATCTCCTACGGTAAGCAGCTAAGTTTTTATGATCTTACTATGGCTTTCTGTGTCATATTGCTGGGTTCCAATCCATGGTTGCCATTTTGACCTGAAGAAATTCTTTAGATATTAGACATCGAAACTAGAGACGATAATATTTTCACATATTTTACCCTTGCAATTAGCAAAAAGAAATACACCCTTGAGCTTGCAAACAAAAACGACATGAATAATATTAAGACAGTGTTACGTTTTAAAAAGAGAACAGAGCATCTGTAACTCATGAACAAGCAGTAGTCATATATATATATATATATATATCTAGAAAATACATGTATATTTCCTTTTTGCCTCAAGTACTGGCAGGCTACATATTGAACCACTAAAAGCTGATCATTTAAAAACTATGATGATGCTATCCCTTTAGGGACATCCGGTGCAATTGGAAGAATCATGATTATGCTACCCAGAAATTCACCTAAATATGGATAAAAAAAAATCTCTCTTAAGAAACGTTACAACATTATGAATTTCTATATCCTTAATAGTTGTAAATTGCATAAGCATTCAGAAGTATATCGATACGCCTAGCAGAGTCTTGTTATCTAGGGATCAATTTCTAGTTTATTCTTTTCTATTAAGCTTCATTTGGAAGCTCCCCAATTTATTGTCAATAAACTTGGAAGCAAAAGTACTCGATCATTGATGGGGGAATTACATCCAGTGAAACAGATAAAAAAAAAATATTATAAGCATCGAAGTTGGGAAAACGCGAGAAGTAGAATTCCGATGAGTCATTATGTTAACTTGAAACTTTACCGAAGGGAAACAAAAATCGTAATGTTACATAAGAATAAACAAAGCTTGAAGCAACTAACTTGTAGCTTAAATTGAACATTACATAGGATAAGATAGAAATACCTGGAGGTGGTCTCTTGTGGTGGTTGCTGCTGATGTGTCGGCTGGCAAGGGAATGGTGACGGTCAAATAGCTGAAGTAAACCATGCATACACCCCACCTGCTTATGCAGATCTGGGTTTTCATCCGTCAAAGAATATAAACGCTTTGCAGACATCTCCACCTCTCTTCCTCAATTCCAGAAACTCAAAAAAACTTATGCCATCCAAGCTTTCATATCTTTCTTTTTAAACTCTCTCTCAATGAATGAATGAATTCATTCCAGACAACCCAAAAGAGTAGTTGGCTATCAGTTTTCTATGAGATTTAGAACATCCATCCATTCATGTACAGACAAAATTGGCATTAACTGCTCCAACTTTCATACATTTAACCCACTACCTTTACAATACTACATGTCGAAACAGTGCATGTAGTCTTCTTTAAACAAATCTCCTCTCCTTAATTGAACTGAAAGATACTTATGTATCTTATTGCTTTTTGCTTTTAGGATTTTGGAGAACAGTCTGTGATACGAAAGAGAATGAAAGAACAGAGTCTCGAAGAGGGAGGGAAGAAGTAAAATAAAATCAATGTGTTTTGTTTTACAGAACAAGGAAGACAGTATCTACTGTCGAAACCCAATAGGAATAGAAATTTAAGGGAAAGGACCCAATGCTTTACAGTTAGCACTATCCCCCACCTTCTGTGCTTCAAAATGACTGTCAATGCAAACTGAAGGGAGAATCTGCAGACCCAAGAAGAGAAGAAGATATATATATATATATATATTTGTAAAATTTTATTTTTGGGTTTGCTTACAGAACAAAAGAAAAGAAGTTTATGCTTTGTCTTTTGGCTCTCTCCAGGAAAGGCAGATGTAGAGGTTAGACTAGAGTTTAGGAGGGGATGTACTTCAATACATGAAGGAAATGTGTTTTTAAGGCCTCGTTTGGGAACAGGCTAATTTAGTAATTTTTTGGCTATTTGGCTAAAAAGGTAGGTAAAAAAAACTTGTATGTTTGGGATGACTTTTTGGCTAATTACGAAAAAATGTGCAAAAAGTAAAGAGAAAAGAGAATCTTTGACTTTTTGGTATAGGTTGTTAGCTTTTTGGCTAATTTAGTAATTTTTTGACTAATTGACTAAAATAGCCTCTTGCCAAACGAGGCATAAGTTGGGAAAAGAGAAAGTGAGTGGTGGCATTTTTTAAAAAAAAGAAGTGTGTGTGTGTGAGAGAGAGAGAGAGAGATGTGGAATATGTGGGTCAGATCTGGTGTGATCTGAATTGTGTGGGTCATTTGCATTGGTTAGTTTCTTCCACTTTTCATGTGGGCAAAATAATGTGGGTGGGTCTGGAGTCTGGACCTCTACTACGTGGGCATGTGGAGTCTGTCAGATAGTGGAAGAAATAGCAAAGGTGAGAGTTATATTTGCTACTAAAGGATCTTGTGTGTGTATGTTGAACTGGTATAATTTAATGATTTTTTTTTTAATTTTTTTTATTTATAGAAAGAGAGGAGGAGAGAGAGAGACGATAGTGTACTTTTCTTTTGGTTATTGTGATGCTTTTACACAACTATTTGTAAAATATTTCATTGGCCGGCCAACAGGTCGCAGGCTAAAATGTTAGGCTCAAGTCTTGTCAAAAGGGCTAATGGACCCGGCTAAAGGACCGCCACTCATGGTCCAACAAGCTAAGATTCAAGATTTTTTTTTCTTCGATTTTTTCATATTTGTTATCGAGTTTGTAGGCTAAGCCAAGTCCTGCCAAAAGGGCTAATGGACCCGGCCAAAGGAACGCCACTCATGGTTCAACAGGCCAGATTCAAGATTTTTTTCTTTGATTTTTTCATTTTTCATTTTTTTTTTTTGAATGATCTATTTATTCATATTTGTTATTGAGTTTGTAGACCAAGCTAAGCTTCAAACCTTAAAGGCCCAATTTAAGTCTCACTCGGGTCGGACTAGACCCCACCTAAGGTACAAGTTTGGGTCTGACCACCACTCATGGTCTGATGGGTCCAGATTCAAGTTTTTTTTTTTTTTTCTTCATATTTGTTGCCAGGCTTCAAACCTTAGACCTAATTCAAGTCTCATTTGGGCCGGGTGAGACCGTCCATGATACAAGTTTGGGTCAAATAAAAACCCTCCGAGTTAGACTGAATTCAAGCCAAATGATGACCCCTAAAAGAGAGGTTGATGCTAGAAATGAATTTTTCTACCTACAATACTATAAACATAGAGACCAAACTACAGGAGCGGCTCCAACACATGGCCAGGGGTGTCACCCGAACCCCCTGGATGATTTTTTATTTTATTTTTTATTATATAAGTATTAAATTTTAGGGAAAAAAAATCAGCAATTAAACCTACTAAAATACAACTTTGAACCTATAGTTTTCAGTCTCAAATTTTGAACGCACCAATGAAAAAAGCTTACTTTTTGACTTTTGCCTACTTTTTGTTTAAAATATTTTATTTGTAAAGCTATCTCTTTCTTTTATCTACTTTTTGTTTGAAATATTTTATTTGTAAAGTGATGGTTTGTATTCTTGCTTTGGACACTTGATGGTTTGTAGTCTTGATGATAAATTTGTAGCTCATGGGAGATCACATAGCAAAGCTCCTGAAATCACAAATTTATACTACTACCGTGTTGATATCTTCTACACTGTTATAGATATGCAACTTCAAGAGCTTAACAACCGGTTTACAAAGGCAAGTACAGAGTTGCTTCTATGCGTGGCATGCTTGAACCCCAATAATTCATTTTGGGCTTTTGATAAGCAAAGGTTAATCCATCTTGCTAAATTTTATCCATCTAATTTTTCTGCAGTAAATCTCATGGCACTTGATAATCAACTTCAGAACTACATTGTTGACATGTGCTCTAGCAATGAATTTTCTGAACTAGGAATTGGTGAACTTACTAGATAGTTGGTAGAGACAAAGAAAGACATTGTATATCAATTAGTCTATTTGCTTGTGAAAAATTGGCGTTGATTTTAACAATTGCGACTGCAACAATGGAAAGAGCATTTTCAGCAATGAAATTTATAAAGAATCGATTGCGTAAAAGAATAGGAGATCAATGACTGAATGATTGTTTGATTACATATATTGAGAAAGATGTATTTGATAATATTGATAATGAGCTTATTATGCAATGATTTCAAAATATGAAATCTCGTCGTGGTCAATTGTAGAAGCTCGTGTGTTAGCACGTCTTTTTGTTTAAACAATAGTATCAATATATTGAAATATTTTTGTTTATAATTTCATAATTTAAATTAATTTGTTAATTTTTTTTCTCCATAGGTGATATAATGATTAATGTGAATTTTCTGTAAGATATATGACATTTCAATTTTTGATTGACACCACCGACAAAAATTCTTGGAGTCACCACTAAACTAGCATAGTTATGAGTCTTTGGATCCTACTCCACACATTTTCTCCCTCCATCTTCAATGTTTCTTGTAATTTTCTTCCTTTATCTTCAACGATCTTTAGATGTGTTCTTTACTTGTTTGGTACTCATGCATCAATATGTGCCAGCAGGATCACGATCACCCAGTGCTAACACACTGGCCATCGTACCCACCTACCTCTGTGTATTTGATCATAGGGTGGTCCAAATATTAGAGTTACCAATATTTAATGCAAGAAAATCATATGAAAACTTGCATTTGAAATGTTTTGGACCGCTAGGGTTTCCCAATATGTGCAAGAGGACTAGATGAAACCCTTATGCAAAAGATAGGCTTTGTTTGTGGTACAAAGAAGTTCGGTCTCCATTCTATTTTTGCTTCTTGGGTACAGTGTTTTTATACCTAGTGTTGTATAGTTTGGAGTTGTATGAAATTTCTCTCCATGAAATTCTATAGAAAGCCAAAAGCGATGGGAAGATAAAAGAAAACAGGGCCTGTTTGAAGAAACTCTTGCACTTGTCTTGGTCCATCATCCAGTGTTGGTCCTGCTAAGTGATAGGGTATTTATTCAGTAGTTCCGAAACGTCATGTGGCATGGCATTATCTATGTGGTGCTCCAAACCATTCACATAGCAAATTTTTTTATGAATGAGATATATTGATTCACTTTTGTTAGGTGGTTAGGATATTTATTCACATTTATTAGGTGCTCCAAACCAAGCTTAGCACTCGGGTTTAAGTCTAGAACCTCTTTTCCCTATTCCCCTCTCTCACCCTAACCAAAAAAAAAAAAATCTAATTTTTAGCAATAATTGTAGAAAATAACTATGATTTGAATTTGCATTCTCATCTTTTTCTTTTTCCTTTTTCCTTTCTTTTTTTTCAATGTATCATTTTAAAATGAAATCTAATGAATCATAATCACAAATGAAAATCAAATACAACATATTATTATTGAAAAGAAACTGCTAGTTTGTGTTTAGATCATGAATTTAAGTAGGGATTTAGTGAAGGAAAGCAAATTAGAAGAGTAAAGTGAGAAAAATAGAAGACGCAAATAGTCTTAAACTAGGAAAGAAGAAATACAATTAAATATAGAGATGTGAACTCTAATATCCTATTGAGTGGGCACCTTTAGATGCTGGCAATGGCTCACAAATGGGGACATTGATGCTTGATTAGGTGACAAGTTTTGGAAATTGAATCAGATGTTCAAACTAAGTGTTTGACAAGACTGTTATCAGATCGATGCTTGACAAGATTGTCACAGCCCACATGACATTGGTTATGGTTGCATTTGTTTTTCAGTGCAATGCAACCAATTCATTACAGTTCATGGCAATGGCATGTGGGGCAACTAAAGGACCTACTCTATGAAAAGAGGAAAAGAAAAGAAAAAAACCCTCAAAACAGTACCTGAAACAAGACTATTGGTCACAGCTGTTCATTGCTTTATTATGGAGAAGATATTGAGAAAAAGAGAGAGATATGGGAAAGGGTACTTGATAATGACAAAGCCAATATTGATGCTTCCACAACTCACCCAATACACTTAAATATGTGCATTTTCTTTTAATGTGTCCTGGAATCAACAATTTTGGGTCATTTTTACCATCATTTGTTTGTGAAATTTCACAGCTATCACTATAACAACATTAGAGTGAAGTAATTTAAACATCAGAAGAGGTTTGCAGTTTTGTCATGAGATACAAGGGACATCAACATATCTACGTCTATATATATATAGGTTTTGTTTAAATTTTTTCGTTTCAAAATTACCCTTATGTAACTGTCTTTATCTATTAGTCAAAAATATCCCTTTCACATCTATTTACTTCAAACTTAAGATTTTCCTAACTGCTTCACATACATAGCTATTATCTATCATCATCCGATGAAATTTTGAAATTAAGAAAAAAATTATTGACAAACAAGAAACAGCTGTTATGGGGTGTGCCTGTCTGCAATGTTTCAAAGACATATGGCCTCCCACCATAGTAGAGCCTGTCCCAAAAATTGTTTGCATCTCTCACCAGCCAACAGTTAATGTCATGTATAGTTTGGGGGTCATAATCTTCCTTCCTCGTTATAATATGACAAATGATAATATTAATTGTAATCTAATAAATCCATGACTATCACCCCTATTTATCATAATTATTATGATTTGATGTATTTTGTGCATATTGTTAATGTCTTTACAATCTCAACGGTTGAAGATATCATATTGTAATACATATTAAGTGAGTCATTCTTTGTCTTCTAATTATTTAGGAAACGTGAGTCAATATGTCCCACTCATAATATTTTTTCGTTACGTGTTTGGTTTGTAAGTAATATACCACATAGTACTATTCATTCAATATTAGTATTTTTGAACTAGATTTCATGGATAGATTTGAGAGCGATTAAGTTGATAGATTTTAAATAATTCTGTAAATATAATTATTTGAATTCTACTTGTACAATGATATTTAACAAAATGC